ACTAGGTATTGTTGGATGATATTAATTTATAGATTATTTCACTAAGTTTATGATATTGATATGAAATTCTTAATTCATTACGTCACTTATGAATTTATGAGTTGTGAACAGATTTATTAAATGTGACATATTGAATGGGTTATTTATGTTATATGTAACGTGACTATATATATTTAGTTTACTATTTAATGTAAGGATGTTACTACATATACATAATGAATTACAAAACATATTACATAATGTTACATGACACTCTATCATTTGCCAGTTTAAAACCAAACAATTTTTTTATCAAATATTTTCTCTCATCATTTTATGTAATCCATAATGTACATTTTGTATGTACAAATAACAAAATCTTTCATGTTATAACAGCCTTTTTGGGCTGTTATTCTATTTGATCAGGGTTGTTTAATCAGTTATTGATTGTGACTTTGTTTGTGATGATTATGAACATCTGTGACCAATTAATATCACTTAATTGTGACTATATGCTACATATTTTTGTTTGATCGTGATTGTCTATGACTTGCTATGAATAAATTTTAAATATAAGTGACCTGTTATGGATTAACTCAACCATTTTGTGACCTGTTCCTGAATTGGGAATATATGTAACGATGTCTTGCTCTTGATGGTGACTTATGTAAATATGTGAAAATTTTTAATTATTTGACAAGTTATTAGTCCTTTGTGCCCACTTATGTGATAACTCTAACAATCTGTGACCATATATGTATTAATTGTGATTGGCTGTGAACACCGACAAATCAAGTAGGTGTTTATTGTGCCTACTTTCAAACCGTGATTTGTTAAGCATTTGAAACCATTTGTGACTTGTTTTTATGTGACTGACATGTTAATACACATGCAATATAAATTTTTCCTCCATAAAAACCACTACTTCAATGATACCATACACATAAAATATTAACCAAAATCAACCACCTTTACAAACAAATCAAATTACAAATGTAAATATAACATCGTCCTACTCCATCATAAAAAACATCTTTTCTATTTTTGAACAGACATCAACTCAATTCATAATAAAAGCAATGTCGTTAACGTGAGTTCAATCATCTGACTCAGATTTGACATTGGCATTTTGGCAAGATCATTTTGTAACAAATGCATACTTAATCAAAAAACACCGTTAAGAAGACAGCCCATTATGGTTGTAATATAAGAAATGTAACTTACCTCTTCTATTGATGTGGTATACCAGTATTCCGGTCACACAATACCTAAATCAGGTCACATATTACTCGACATAGGTCACACGGTACACAAATCAAGTCACAAAATCCAGATTGAAGTTATAATCAACATACTCATACATTACAACCCTTACTGGAAAGCAAATGCACATAAATAAATAAACGAGGGACAAAGCCTTTTTCATCGATTTTCCGCCTGATGCCAACATCTTCACTCCCTTGGGTGAAGAAGATTCTTCAACAATTTTTTTTTCTTTGTACCTTTCTGTTTCTCCCTTCTCTGATCATCAATACTATGAATTAAAACCATTTTAAATACTTTATGCGAGGTGCAGTGATATTTGAGCGTAATAGTAATAGAGTTTGATGACGTGTGTATTGTAGAGAAATCACAATGTTCGTGTTTGGTAGAGAGAGAGAGAGAGAGAGAGATGTGGTGGTGATGTGCCTGACTATAGAGAGAATGAGTGGGGTAATTGTTATGGATATAATTTTAAATAGATCTCATTAGATAAACATTACACGGTTACCAAGTTAATCATATATTAATTAATTTAATAAATCTTCATATCACTTGATTCGTGAAATTAAAACTGATCCTCTTTAATTTTGAATAGTATACTTTATATGTAGGTTTTGGGTGATTTTCTCTTTTTTTTTTTTATTTGGTTGAAGAAATATGGACCCAATCATATCTCACATCATGTATATATAAACTATTATATACATGAAGTTATACCATTCAAGCCACACAATCAAGTGCTCAGCTAGGAAGTTCAAAAAGTTGACGTTAACATGCCAAAGACCAAGTTTCATGTTGGGCTCGAAAGACGACATGAAGCGGAACAACTTAGTTTAAACGATGGACGGAGGGACTAATCCTTTATACTATGCGACCACATAGAAGCAGGTAGAAAATTCAGCCAGGAGAAAAACTTCTTCTATGCGACCACATTTAAATGTACTATGCGGCTGTATAGTATATTGAATTTCCAATTTTTGTAAATCTTTTGTTTAAATTAAAACTTTTTTTGTGGGGTGGGGGAGGGGTTGTTACGTGATCAATTCCGTGGTTGTCTAGGGGATTGTTCAAGGGTATTATTCCATTTTTTTATGGTAACTTTTGTAATGGGTAATTAGTACAAAAGGCCCCTACCTTTCAACATTATTGTGCAAAACGTCCATACATTTCATTTTTTGACATTTTCATCCCTACCTTTCACCTCTTACTGCGCAAAAGGTCATTTTCATCCTTTTTTTTATAAATAAAATGACAATTTTACCATCTTATTCAAATAAAACAACCTCGCCTCACTCCCCCACCATCCTCTCACATACGAATTTGAAAGTTTGGAGCAATTATGACCCACTCAGACAGCTCTTGCTGTGCATCACGCCCGTAAAGAGTTTTGGACCATAAATTGAAATGGTTGAGGGAATAATTTATTCAATTAGATTC